GCTTGTTTTTAGCTTATTTTTCACTTTGGTGGTAAGCAGAAATCAATGGCAGAAGAGAATTATAAACAAGCCTCCGGTGGACACTGTCAAGCTAATCAGGGCACTGAGAGGAAGCCAGCCCATATGATCTGATGTACACTTGGCATATAACCAGTAGTGCAGATATTGGCTGATTGTACTTATAGTTCCTCAGTTACTCCTTTTATTTAACTCCCTATACTTTTACTTTGTGTTGATTTGTTGAACCAGAGAGACTTATTCTGGTCATCTTCCATTGTTCGTGGCACAAACGATTCATTGCTGATATGTAACTATCTTTTCCGCCCGCACTTCGCCTGGCCAACTGTCAGCTCACCTTGCTTTCTCATTTTAGCCCATATTCCAATAAACATGTTGGTTGTTTTGCATATGCAAATGCTATTTCCTTAGAATAACCAAATGCTGCAGGGGAGCATTCCCCATATCTTTGGGGCAAAACCTCGTAGTATGATAGATGTGACCTACAGTCCTTACAGTAATAGCAAGGAGATAGCTGCCTGCAGCTATAGATGTCCTACACAGGAATGCTAGTGTAAAATGCTATAGAAACCTTAAGGTAGTTGAAGCAGTCTTTCTTGGTCTTGTTCCACTTGGAACCCTCCTTTCTGTGGGAAACTTGGCTGGTAGATACAATGTGAATGAAAGCTTTTATAGAGTGCAGAGCAAGTCTGGTTTATTGATGCATAGGACCAGCATACTAATCAATTGAATAGTGAAATGATTGTGCTGGTTTGACTGTAGTCAATATTTGTTAAACATTCTCTGAAATCATGAATGTCTTTGTGTGGCAGCCAAGGTTTTAAATTAATTATTATTCCATATGGAAACGAGGATCCTTTTATTATCTAGTCCCAAATGATACTTAATAAGTTGGCAGCTTCTCCAAAGGAAAGATAGCCTGTTATTATATTCCATAAACTCTAATTCCCCTTCAAAATGTTAATTTAAATAGGCAGGAATACCTTGATTTAAATCAGGTTCCTCACCACATTGCTTTACCACCTGAGAAAATCTTGTAAACCATTTAAGTTTACAGTTATAATATTATTTATTTTATTGTTGTAACTAGCTTTTGCATCTCTTGGTCTAACTAGTTGTATGGCTTCCTTTCGCAGAAAGTACCTTTACAATATTGCAGGGTACTTTCTTCTTCTAGCATTTAATACGAGGTTAAGAGTGAGAATTTAGAAACTTTTGTATAGTATATATTTATTTTTCTCTTTATGTCAGTGAACACTGATATAAAAGGAAAAACATTGAAAATTCCTATTTCATTCAGCTTTGGCCTAGCTTTATTAAAGAACATCAAGAAAAATATAAATGTACTTGAGAGACCGCCTGCTGCCAATTACCTCCAATAGACCGATTAGATCCCACAGATTAGGCCTCCTCCGAATT